GCCAAAATTGGCCAGAATCGGCTTTGGGTAGTAACAGAATATAAATTTGGGTGGGAAAGTGATATTTTGAAACTTTTGGGTGGAAAAGTGTGATTAAGGCAAACCTTGGTGGGAAAATGCCGTTTACTCTTGAAAATAATTAATTCGGTAAGTCTATATTTATATAATAATAAAATTAAATTCATGCACACCAGATTGAGTGAAGAATCAAGGAAAGTCGGAAATATTTAGAGAAAATAAAGTCAGCCTTATCCATAATAACTTTACAATCAGGAAATTACGTAGAATGATTGTGAGCTAATTGATTCTTACTTTTTCCAACATACAAATAATTAATTAAACCAATTAATCAATACTTTAATTGTAGCAACTTTTCTAAAAATTCGGATTAATTAATTTGATAAGTCATTATAATAATCAGCAGCGGATGTGGTGGTGGTTTGGAGTGGGATCGTTTGGAATGGGCTGTGAAGAAGAGGAGAGGAGATGAAGATCAGGAAGAAAGTCCAAGGTAATTTGGTAAAAGAATCCTCTACTCCTATGTCACAACTCATTCGACACTAATAACATAAAAATTTAGAATTTATAAAATTAAGAATATCAACCTGAGATTTCACTAAACCTCGGTCAGATGGGAATGTGTCAATTTACTCTTAAATAAATTGTAAAGTGGTCGTCAACTTCAAAACAATAATGCTTCTTTGAAAATAATTAATTTGGTAAGGCTATATTATATATTAAATTAAATTCATGCACATGGCGTCGATTAAATCGGATGACAGTGAGATTGAATGAAGAATCAAGGAAAGTGGGAAATATTTTGAGAAAATAAAGTTAGCCTTATCCATAATACCAAGCATTAATAGCTTTACAATCAATCAGGAAATTATATTAGGGTAGTTAAAAGGTAAATGTGTCATATTCATGAAAGCATATAAAATGGGTTTATTACATATACTTTTGGGGGATCGTTTAATCCTAACACATCCAAAATTTACGAAAATTATTGAAACTCCCTATAATTTATTAATTAAAAATAACATTGTCTCATGGAATTTTTAATAATTATAGGAAATTTTTAATAATTTTCTGAAATCTTGAGTGTGTTTAAGATTAAACAATTTTAGAAAATGTGTATAAAATAAACTCAAAAATTCATATAGAAAATTGCATTGAAAATAATTAAAATGTAAAGTTTAACAATAAAGAGGCCAACCATCCTTGGGTGGCTAAGTGGTTGGACGAGGATTCTTGAATGTATTACTCAAGAGGTTCTGAGTTCGAGTCACCACGGTTCCTAATAAAGATTATTGAACTCACCTAGGATGCTATTAGGGATGATCATTGAAGGGTATACTCAATCGTTAGATTAAAAAAAAGGATAAAAAGGCCAAATAAAATAAATTTTAGAACATGAACTTGGAAATTTTAATATATAAAGTCTTAAAATTTTTGTACGGAGTAGGGTACAATTTCAATTATCATTCATGGGTAGTATTAGTTGTTCTCATTTGAATTCAATTCACTTAGCACATTTGGTCAAGGCATAGCCGCTCTCTTGGAAACTCAATTATTATTTATTAATCCAAAATTGACCATTCTGCAAGACGAAAGGCAAAGATATCTCAATAAAGTATCTGGATTCTAAGAAGTAAATGCATTATTTACATTCTTAAAATAACGAGATAATATTTTTGTCTTGTGAATATTTATTTGATAAACTTATTAAAATTAAGATGACCTTTGGTGTGATGTACAATTCTTTAATCTATACCTGGAGAACGTTATATAAAAAGTACACATATTGTTATTGGGTTGTGACCTTTAATGTTATTTTTTCCGATTACGGTAAAGTCATTGCTTAATACTTTCTAGGTGTAAATAATCAATTCTGTTAAAATCTTTTCAAATTTAGTGTAAACTTGCCCGTAAAAGACACCTATGATTCGAGGGTTTAAATTGTAATTTTAAATTTAGGGTTTAAGTTCAAATTTAATACGCAAGAGAATTGATTTGTCTTCGTCAACGTCTACTTTTTTCTTCTCTTTAAAAGGCAAGGTGGCCCAAAATTCTTCCACTTCTAATCCCTTTGTTACGTTCGTTTCACCTTTAAAAAGCACATGTTACAAAATGTCTTACTTTAAAATTGACCCACTTTATTTATTTATTTTGTCGTCTTCATTTAAGTATTTGATTCTTTACCATAATTTAAAATATATTTAGAAAATCCGGATCAGAAATCTAAGTATTTATTGATGGATTTTTATTATTTTAATTTTTGATACTCTCCTCATCTCTTGATGTTTTAACAAAAATCTTAAAATTCACTTTTTATTCTTGTCTATCCCTTATTCTACTAATAACTTAATATGGAATATTCAATCTACAAAAAGAGAAAAATATTAAAAAAAAATATTTGTAAGTATTTTTGTCCACTTATAAATTCTGTGTGGCTACTCTAAGTTCGGATGTCACAACATCATATTGTTTATTTACAATCGTTTTATAGTCTTCTAATGTCATATGATTTAGTGACCCAGTCAGATTTCTTTTTGTACAAGTGGTTGTTTAACTTGTTTGTCAAGTTAATTTTCTTTCATGATTTTCGTGATTTTGTACAAGTGGTGTTTTTAACTTGTTTGTCAAAGTTAATTTTCTTTCATACTTTTTGTGAAAGGTAACTTTACAAGGGTCCTACTATCCCAATTTAGTCTTGCAATGTTGGTAAGGTTGTCGGTGGTCCAAACAAAAATTGTAAGGTTTTGTTTATGGTCCCAACAAAAGTTAGAAGGGTTTGTCTCCCACTTTTCTTAAAGAGATTGGTTGAGCAAAGATTATATATTATTATCTTCTTCCTTGCATTTTCTTTGAACCTAGTGCTAGTGGCTGATCCAAGAATTTCACTTTGTAGGGGCAAAAAAAAAAAAAAAAAAAAAAAAAATTAAAATCAATCATAACCATGCTATTTTTTCATTACGATGAGCTTCAACAAAAAGTTACAAAGTACAAATAAATATCTTAAAAAATACAATTTTTGTAAAAATATAACAATTTTTCTACGATTGTCCTCGACGAGTTTTCATATTCTGAAAACGTTAAATAATCATATCATCATCAATTGTATTAAATACGTACATCTTTCTCAATATAGGTGACCAAGCAATCATTCATCCATTGATCTCCTATTCGATTGCGTAACCGACTTTTCACAAGATTCATTATAAAAAAAACCCTTTTAACGGTTGCAGTTGCAATTGGTAAAACCAATGCAATTTTCACAAGCTTATATACCAACGGATACAAGATGCCTTTTTTAAACCGAACCAAATTCTTAGCCAAATCATCAATTCCTTGTAACTCAGCAAATTCATTACAAGAACACATGTCAATAACATAAGTCTCAGCCTAGTTCTCAAGTACCATCAACTCAAGTGCAGAAAAATCAGATGGATAAAACAAGTCAAACCCATCTTCCCTCTCTCCTCTTTTTCTTTTTCCTTTGCTTTTACTTCCTTTCTTCTTTATGGATTTTTCTCTCTTCTTCATTTTGGGCGAACAACCCAGTTTATATATAAAACAACTTCTTTGAATTATGAAACTACCCTAAATTCTCTTATTCTCACCATGACCCCACCACATCAGCATTCTGTTGTAAAAATGCCCAGATTTCTCCCCTCAGTTACATGCAAACCTAGTAGCTCTTATTCCTTTCATTTTCGCTCCTAATAATTTTTTAAAAAACTAACAGATCCCCTTGCATAATAATAAATAATCACAAAAAATATGAAATATATATATTATGATTAAAACAGGGTTTTACAAAAACAAAATCCAAACTTACCGTGGAGGCCGTTCCGTTCCCAAAATCTTAAAGTTCTATAGGGGCAAAATTTAAATAAATCTAAAATCAAAATTTTTTAAAAATTGAGTGGCGACTATGGTCCTCACTCGTCATTCATTGGATCTGCCACTGCCTGGTGCGTTCATTATTGTGCTCTCTAGAATTTTTCTATAGCTTATTCATTTGCTCAGGTTCCGTTTCTTTATTACTCATTTCTTTGAGTTTTGTTAAGCAAAGATTGTTTGTTTCCATCTTCTTCTTCCTTGCGTGTTTGGCATGAATATACCTTTGAATGTTCTCCGAATATCCTTTGAGGTTTTCTTTGTTTTTAATCAGGTTTCATATGCTTTGGTAAGCTTATAACCCTTGTTAACCATTTGTTTTGTTGAGCCTTTGTTGGAACGTGGGTTTCCTTGATGATGCTTGATGGGATTTCAAGCTATTTGAGTTAAAGTGTGTCTTTAGTGTTGAACCTTAAGAGGAGCTCAAGGTGTCCAAGTGGTATCCTGATGAGAAGCTAGCTATGGTAGTTCGAAATTCAACCAAAGGGTAAAGTTTGAAGTGTTGTCATAACAAGAAGTGTTTTACAATTGATGCTTAACTTTGGCATTGTAAATGAACTTTAATTTTTTTCATCATAATGGATTAGCTTCGTCTGGACTTGGTCCTATGGATACAGACAAGTTGCCGAACCATGTAAAAATGATTTGTGTGCTTTACATTATATCATGGATGTTTAGTTTATGTTGATGATGAATAAGCCATAAGCACAAATGAATATATTTAACCAATTCCGCATAAGTTTAATAAACTTGATAAAGTGATAAAACAGTCAAAAATAAAGGTAAGTTTAAAAATTAAATGTATGCACAATAAATGTCATTATACAGTTTCACAGTAGGGACGGAAAGAACCATTCCTCTTTTTATTATTGTATAAAAAAAAATTAATAATAATTATTCAAACCAAAAGAATAATCCACCATTTTCCATGCAACTATTGTTGAATAAATATGAATTTTTCATAGAATCATCCTTTAAGTTTTATACAATTATACATGTTTCAATTATTTTCAGTTTTGATCAGCTAGAAAAATTAAAAAGAAAAAGAAAAACAAAATATAACAAGATAATATACTTGTTTAAGGTGATGATAGCTTATCAACCAAGCGGAGAAAATTTGGACATCTCTAATAACTAGTTTCTAGTAATCAGATATTCTGAATCCAGATTGACTGGATAAAGATCAGATGCAGATGTGGAAGAACCTGTCCACAGCCCGTCGATCGACATACTCTGGATCTGGCTCTGGCTTTGGCTCGTGCTCCCTTCGTTAGATTGTTCTCTACTGTATTGATAATAGTTTCTCATTGCTTCAAGCTTGGCCTCATCCACGGAGTCACTTGAGTTTGGAATCGAGTCTGGAACAGCAGCCCTGCCTTCAAGCATGCTTACAACAGAAGACATTGTCGGCCTAACAGCAGAAGAGGTATCGGTGCACAGGAGAGCCACATTGATCATCACCATCACTTCTTTCTTGTTGAAGTCTGAGCCCAATCTTGGATCAACTAGATCCATTAAGTTTTCTTTCTCTTTTAAGACATGAACCTGAAAAGAGGATATAACGGAAGATGATTAGTGGTAAAATAGATTGTTATTGTAGAATTTGATATATGATATAGTTGTACTGTGATCAAAATTAAGTGCACAAGAGCTACATTTGATTATTCTTCATGAAATCTGAGCATTTCCTTCAAAGAATGAGAATATAACACTGCTTGGCAATATTCTAATGCTGACCAGAGCCATAATGAAGAACAACAAATGCAATAAAGACTGAGAATTGAAGTTTACCCAATCAAGAAGATAAACAGTTTCCCCCTTTGGCTGGAAACTACTGTTGCTCCTTCCACTAACAATTTCCAAGGCAACAACTCCAAAGCTATAAACGTTTGCTTTATCAGTTAAATAACCTCGCATTGCATATTCTGGTGCCATGTAACCCCTGCAAAATCATGAGTATAACATCCTGTCAGGCATGCATATAACTTACAGGCTTAATACCCAACAATTCGGATATTTATCTTCTTGAATACAACTTGCTCATATTGATAACTGAGCTCAAAATTTATCAACTTTTGATGAGACGGGAAAGGGAACACATTTATAAGAAATTATTAATGCAGCAAACTCACAATGTTCCAGCAATTCTAGTGCTTATGTGGGTGTTTTCCTCTTCGTCTAGCTTGGCCAAACCAAAATCAGATATCTTAGGATTCAGGTCCTTATCAAGAAGCACATTAGTGGCCTTTATGTCTCTATGCACAATCTTCAACCTTGATTCTTCATGGAGATAAACCAAACCTCTTGCTATACCAACACAAATCTTGTGCCTTGTTGGCCAATCCAACTTCAACTGATGTTCTTCTGGACCTTTAAACCACCAAAAAACAAGATTTAGAATCTGCAAGCACATGAATGTGTATATGTGTGTTTTATTCGTCTTTGACAGATAAAAAGAATATAGACTTCATATATAGATGCAATTTACCAAATAAGGCTCGAGCAAGGCTGTTATTTTCCAAGTACTCGTAAATTAGCATTAACTGGTTTCCTTCAATACAACATCCATGAAGCTTTACAAGGTTAGGGTGTTGCAAAGCAGAAATAATGCCGATCTCATTCACAAACTCTCGATTTCCTTGCTTTGATTTGGAAGAAAGCTGCTTAACTGCAATTACAGTACCATCTGCCAAGACGCCCTGCATGTTTAAGAAGAATGCAGTAAGATTCCTGTATAAAAGGAATACAAGAACAGTAGTTATATATTAAACAGAAGAAAGTAATTTTTATGTGCAGGTAATGTAATACCTTGTAAACTGGACCAAAGCCACCTTCTCCAATCTTGTGAGCTACAGCAAAGTTGTTTGTGGCAGCTTTAATTTGCCTCAAAGTAAAGGAACCAGTATGCAAGTCCAGACCCTTAAGATCTGTGGAAGAAACCAGGTTAGACAAGAAGAATATGTACTGATTATCCTCCACTACTGCATACAGTTAAAAGTATGTGAATAAATTAAAGAACTGAGAATTGTAAGAAAAAAGTTAATAGCATTTGAAATACCTTGTTCCAGTGTACTCTCCCATCTTAGACAGCCTTTCCACCAAAGGATACCCAAAATCAGGATAATAGTAACCACTGCCCCAGCAACGATTCCAATGACCGCCCCTGCAGTTATACTACTGCTATTTTCTGATGGGGGAGTACCGCTTCCTTCTGATGGGGGAGTGAATTCTGCTTGTAGAGAGAAACAAAGAAGTTATTCAAATGGGAGAATACACCATTCCAGGCAAAAACACTTATACATAAGTTGATAATAACAAGAGAAAAAATAAGAACTTTTATTTTTAAATTCCATATTGTGTAAATATTAAATACCAGCTATTATAACACTTAAAATGAATTTGTTTAATCATCAAAATTACAATAAAAAACAATGGTAGAGATCCCCCTTAAAATCCTAAAAATCATACCAAATAAATGAAGTAATTAAAACACTTTTGGTCCATGGACAAGTCAAAAGACCCTATTCAAATGCCTTAAAAGGAAATGAAATGGTATTATTTATTACCTTATGTTCTCCAATCACCTTGAGGAAATTTAGGTACTATTTAAAAAATTACTTAACTATAAGGAATTCATAACATAGACATGAATATAGCAAATTTTTGGGAAGTTCTATAATTCTTGCAGAATTTAAAAAAAAATATCACAGATAAGGAGAATCTGAGTTTAGTATTAAACCTACCAGCATCAACAGAAATAGCTGATATTAGAGGACCATAAACTCCTTTATTAGGGAGAGCAGTCGTTCCTTTCCCAGCCCAGATGAAACGGATCTCCACAGTATTGCTGGTGACAGAAACATTAACTATTGGTATCGTAATTGCCTTACCAACGCCGTCAGCTGCAACCTCGATATTGAAATCCTTCAGCACCAGCTTTCCCTGCAATGATTATTACTGATTAACTGAATTTTTCATGCATGCGATGGATATCAGCTTTAACAATATTCTAAACACTGGTAGAAATTGATATTTATATATGCTTGTCTCATATTTTATCATTCACTAGAATTCAATAAAGAGGGTAAATCTTCAAAGGTTGGTGAATACCAAAACCTTTGTTGAAGGTTAGGAAGTATAATGCAATAGTCACCTGAATGTAAACATTTAATATGCGCCTGCCCAAGCTGCTATATGTTTTGTCATCATTGAACATTATCTCTGCAAAGTGGAGTTTGACTGTGTAGTTTCCGTTTCCCAGACAAAATCCATAGTAAGTTAGAGACAGGGCAGAAAGACGCGCTTGCATGTATAGACAGGGGAGAAAGACGCGCTTGCATGTATAGCGGGGCCTGGGAATCATTAATTGACAGTATAGCTTAATTTTGCCGAATATAAGTTTCACTAGAGCTGCCACCATCCAAATAGTGGCCAGTGCTGCTAAATCCCCAATAATTTCTACTAATGAAGAATTTTGAAGGTCCTGCCGCATCTGTATCAGCATCATATCTGGTATTTCCATCGACAGTCACTTCTTTCCCACCACAATTAATATGAAGACGGTAGTTCAAAGCTTGGAAGAAAAAATAGCAGTTTAGAAATGATTGAACAAGAAAATAAATTTCTTTGAAGTAATGAAAACTTTCTTCTTCCTTTTGACTCTGGCAGGCCTTGGAGGGGGACTACAAAGTCAAAAGAAGAAACTGATCACCTTGTCGCTATTCCTTTAAAATTTATAGTATTCATATTTTTCCAGTAAGTCTAGAAGAGTACCCTCATGAACTTGTCTGAACACTCTCTTTACAGTAAAGAACAACCAACCACAACATAATTTTTTATTTAACTAAAAGAACAACCAGATACAAGCAGGTCCCAACTTAATCAGCCATGGCTATACAGTTTGTTATTATATAAATGTATAAAAAGGAATATAAACAAGCAGCACATCAAGAAAAACATGAGAGCATAGAAATGTGAAAAAAATATTTGAAATTTCAACTTACTTTGTGGACAATCAGAACTCTTCAAACATGAAACAATTCCAGTTCTAGAAGATTAAATGTAAGGTAGAGGTTAGCATCATAACCATATAACATATCATTGAATCTCATTTAAATGACAAGAAAAAAAAAAAATCAAAATATTTTTTGATGCATGTTATTGGAAGGTGAATGTGAAACTTACGTGTCATTGGCCTTAGAAGAGGTTGCAAACAAGTTCCTACAGAACAGTATACAAATATTAAAACTCACACGAGTTTCCAAATCAGTTGTGAACAGTGTAGCAGAGTTGATAATCCAATGCTTAAGGATCTAATTAGGAAAATAGTATTCTTACACGGCTCCACTTTGGCAGTTTGACACCTCTGAGAGTCCAGCAGTGAAATTGTTATAGGAAAGATCACTGCACAGAAATATCAATGTGATTCATTATCATTAATTGGGATAAAAATATTTAATAAATTATAGTCCAAAAATGTGTATGGAACAGTTGTTACATATCTAATGTAAGTTTCAACAAACTCAATTTTTACAAACCAAGAGATACTTTAGTTTCTTTGAACATGCAGTGTGAATTAACTTTGATACTCATAGACCAAAAGGAAAATAGAAACGGCCTTTTTCTTCACTTGCAAATGCAGTTTGCAACCATTTAAAGAGCCTAAATTTGCAAGGACCACCTATGCATTGGCAGTTACCATAGCATAAACAGAATTCNGTTAGGAAGTATAATGCAATAGTCACCTGAATGTAAACATTAAATATGCGCCTGCCCAAGCTGCTATATGTTTTGTCATCATTGAACATTATCTCTGCAAAGTGGAGTTTGACTGTGTAGTTTCCGTTTCCCAGACAAAATCCATAGTAAGTTAGAGACAGGGCAGAAAGACGCGCTTGCATGTATAGACAGGGGAGAAAGACGCGCTTGCATGTATAGCGGGGCCTGGGAATCATTAATTGACAGTATAGCTTAATTTTGCCGAATATAAGTTTCACTAGAGCTGCCACCATCCAAATAGTGGCCAGTGCTGCTAAATCCCCAATAATTTCTACTAATGAAGAATTTTGAAGGTCCTGCCGCATCTGTATCAGCATCATATCTGGTATTTCCATCGACAGTCACTTCTTTCCCACCACAATTAATATGAAGACGGTAGTTCAAAGCTTGGAAGAAAAAATAGCAGTTTAGAAATGATTGAACAAGAAAATAAATTTCTTTGAAGTAATGAAAACTTTCTTCTTCCTTTTGACTCTGGCAGGCCTTGGAGGGGGACTACAAAGTCAAAAGAAGAAACTGATCACCTTGTCGCTATTCCTTTAAAATTTATAGTATTCATATTTTTCCAGTAAGTCTAGAAGAGTACCCTCATGAACTTGTCTGAACACTCTCTTTACAGTAAAGAACAACCAACCACAACATAATTTTTTATTTAACTAAAAGAACAACCAGATACAAGCAGGTCCCAACTTAATCAGCCATGGCTATACAGTTTGTTATTATATAAATGTATAAAAAGGAATATAAACAAGCAGCACATCAAGAAAAACATGAGAGCATAGAAATGTGAAAAAAATATTTGAAATTTCAACTTACTTTGTGGACAATCAGAACTCTTCAAACATGAAACAATTCCAGTTCTAGAAGATTAAATGTAAGGTAGAGGTTAGCATCATAACCATATAACATATCATTGAATCTCATTTAAATGACAAGAAAAAAAAAAAATCAAAATATTTTTTGATGCATGTTATTGGAAGGTGAATGTGAAACTTACGTGTCATTGGCCTTAGAAGAGGTTGCAAACAAGTTCCTACAGAACAGTATACAAATATTAAAACTCACACGAGTTTCCAAATCAGTTGTGAACAGTGTAGCAGAGTTGATAATCCAATGCTTTAGGATCTAATTAGGAAAATAGTATTCTTACACGGCTCCACTTTGGCAGTTTGACACCTCTGAGAGTCCAGCAGTGAAATTGTTATAGGAAAGATCACTGCACAGAAATATCAATGTGATTCATTATCATTAATTGGGATAAAAATATTTAATAAATTATAGTCCAAAAATGTGTATGGAACAGTTGCTACATATCTAATGTAAGTTTCAACAAACTCAATTTTTACAAACCAAGAGATACTTTAGTTTCTTTGAACATGCAGTGTGAATTAACTTTGATACTCATAGACCAAAAGGAAAATAGAAACGGCCTTTTTCTTCACTTGCAAATGCAGTTTGCAACCATTTAAAGAGCCTAAATTTGCAAGGACCACCTATACATTGGCAGTTACCATAGCATAAACAGAATTCGTGGACAGATGCAGAGTCCACACTTGAAACCAAATATGTTAACAGGCTTCACAGGATTTGATGTACAAATGAGCAAAAGATACAATAGTTTCAACAGTGACACATCAAGACTCTTTAGCATAATTGTTCAACAAATGATACAGGGCATGTGGAAGAGAAACTTACACTTTCTTTCGTGAGTTCACCAGCCAACCAGGCACTTGTCCAGTTAGCAAGTTTCCAGTTAAATATCTAACCAAAATGAACATAAAGGGTTCAGTAAAAACATCCTTCTTCTTCGTTACTGAACTCATAAGGATAATTGTTATTCGTATTCATAGCAATGCTGGGCACCAAAAAAAAAAAAAAAAAAAAAAAAAGATTGATTGATATTTATACAATTATAACTCAAAAACACCACTCGTTTTTCAGCTTCAGTGGTGACAAATTCTAAAATCCTACCACAAACAGATGTAAATTGGGCCACTTATTTTACATGAAAACATTCAACGACTAAAATTGAAGTGTAAATTTCAGTTGCTTTGATTAATTCCATGTTTTATTGTCAAAAAATTCATATGTTTATGAACAGGAAGTACCATTCACTGAATCTGTTTGAAATTAAAATCAGATCAAAACTATATGCTTACACATAAGTCGCAATTTCTAGACCGGTAAAGTTGCTTGGGATCACTCCACTAAGTTTGTTAAAGCTGAGATCTCTGCAAGAGAAAACGTAGCATTGAGCTGATATGTCCGAGCAAATCTATATAATGAAGGCCAAATAATTAGGCACACTATTTGAAACTTAGGATTTAAAGAAGAAACCATCTAAGCTATGCCTGTACAGACAACCTTGAAGTGGTAGACAAATTTCTAGAGAAGCTATTCTTTCATCTCAACAAGAATGGAAAGAAAACAAAGAGTGTACTAACAAGGTTTTCAATTGTGTAATATTCCCAAGATATAATGGTATTTCTCCAATGAGGTTGCAACTTCTCAATATCCTGTAACACAAACAAATGTTATCACTTTCAACTTGTCAAAAGACATATAATTTCTACAAAATGTGTGGTCACTGAATCAATTAACTTACAGTGTCTCCAGATTGATCAAGTTTTCAAGCAGTGGAAAATTCGAATCATTTCCATTCAAGTCACTGATTCTCCTGCATATTGAAATTTAACCAAGAACATGTCTAATATAAATACAAAAATACGTGACATAATAAAAAGAAATGAGTTGAAATATTCAACCACACTTACAGGTCGGTTAATTTTTTCAAAGCACCAATACCGGAAGGAATTGGACCATCCAAACCGCTTCCCTGAATAAATCTGTACTACCATTTTAATTTAATTAGGTGACCATAACATAACCAATGCAAAATTCTTAACACAAACCATAAAGAATATAGCTCTCACAATCTTGTAAGGTTTGTCCAGTTCTGAATAAAATCAGGTATCTTTCCAGTGAAGTTGTTACCGCCAATTAGACTGCATATAGTCGAGAAAAAAGAATTATATTTTTAAGGCAATAAATAATCAAATTGAGCTTATAAAACCTTGAAAGGGTAGTAAAAATCAAAGGCTTATCTTACAACTCCTTCAGTGTGGTCAACTTCTCAAAAGTTTTTGGCAATTCCCCAGTAAAATTGTTTGAGGTAAGATAGCTATAGCAACAAAAATACCAACAGATATCAATTTAAATATTCAAATAATTGTAAAGTTAATCAAATTAAATAGAGGGAAAATGTCCCTTTCTTCAATTTCTCTTGTCGGATAAAATGTAAACTTAAGGATTCATTTTCTTACAGTCTTTCAAGGCTTGATAGATTTCCAAGCTCTGGAGGCAAAACTCCTGAAAGCTGATTGAATTCCAGGACTCTACACATTTATAATACATATATAAGAATCATTCAACAACAACATTGGTATAACTTTTCAGCAAATTGAGAAGCAACAGAAGGCTGGAAAAGAAAAACTCACAAACTTTTAAGCGTGGTAATATTTGCAAGGTCTTTTGGAATTGGACCTGTTAACTGGTTTCCAAGAAGGGAACTGAAACCACAGCACCCATTTGTTATCAGTATCGCAAACACAAAAGAATGTATATGAATTGTGTATTTTCCATTGACAACAAATTCTAAGTTTGGCTTAAAACCATCTCACAGTATGGCATTTCCCCTTTTTCAACTATTTAGTATGTCGATTTTGAGATTAACTAAACAGCTTTACTCTTAAATCATCTAAAATCTAAAAGTTTATGTAAAATTCAATGACCAACAATCAGTTGTTAACTTGGAAAAATGTAAAATTCAAAAGTTAATAACCCTTTATATATACAATCATTCTCAATGAAATTTTAATTAAAACGTTAAAGAGAAGAAAGCATACATGTTGACAAGAGGCAGAGAGCTCCATTCTGGCGGGATTGTGCCACTGAGATAGTTGCGAGAGAGGTCACTGTGAAGAGACTAATAGGTAATTTGGAAAATGGTGAGGGGTAAAATTGGAATGAAAAGGGTTAGAGAAATAGTAGGACTTACATTTGTTGGAGAAAACGGAGCCTGGTCAATTCTGGCGGGACAGTGCCAGTGAGATTCTCAGACTTGAGCATTCTGTATTAATTAATTACATTAAAAAAATGAAATTTTTATAATTTTATAAAATAAAAGGTCCAATAGTCAGATTTTCATAATTATAATTACTTTTCATTTGTGCATGAATAAAGGGGAATGATTACTCAATCTCACAATTACTAGGTTAATAAAACTTTAATTTCGTAATTATAGTAAACTATCTCTAATTAATTGAAAGAATTAAGAGTAAAATTAACATCTCAATAACGATTTAACTCTAGTAATAAGCACCCATTTTAATATAAAATTCAAATTTTATAATTTTACACTCTACTCTCACAAAACCTATAAAAAATTTAGTTTATATTTTAATTGTTTTTCTACCTTTTCTTTACACTTAATTTTTTTTTTCTTTCTTCAATGGTAAATGAATGTGAATAATTTTTTTTTTAATTATTGTTCAATTTAAATTTTGTATATCATTTTTTTTTTATAATCCTTGGGTGTTCGGACTAGTTTATGCTCACCCAACTAATCTTTTAGAACCCTAAAATTATCGATCGAGTAAGAGCTTCAATGACTATCCCTATTAGCACTAAAAAAGATATTTAAACTTATAACCTATTGAATAATATATTTAAGATTCTCTATCCAAGCATTTCATTAATAAAATGTTATATATATATATATAAAATCAATTTTTTTTTCTTTTTGTATATTTATGCTACTAAAACGTGTCATTCTTTCAAGAGAGTATCAATTACTTAAAGACTTCGTATTTCTCAAAGTCAATGTTAATAAAAAAACTTTGAAGCACTATTTAATTATAATTAAAATTTAATTTACGTGAAGGAATGAAGAAGAAAGAGAGAAGACATACATGCTGACAACATGGCAAACAGTGGCATTCGAGAAGGAGCAATCGCAACTGACATTTTTCTCAAATCCATTTGTTTGAATCTCTGCAACCCAACTCTCTTCTCTACTGCATGGATCTACCTCGAAATTCCAGTCATTCTTCCCTAGCTTCTGCCCTATCTCTTTTAAAGCTTCCACTATATATATAAACAAATTACTTAATATATAAAAGAAAAGTACTATATACATATATGCTTAAAAAAAATATCATACCTTCACTGACTTCCAAAAGGGGGGCTCCAGAAGCAAAAATTGCGAGGCAAATGGCAGAAACAAGTGAAAGGAAAAGGAGACGATGATGAAAGAACATCTTTAAATTTAATAATATGTTGCAGAAGAAATCATATAATTTGCAGTGGAAAGAAAATGAAAAGAGATATAGGATGGAGTTTTAAAAGGAGAAGAAAAGCGGAACTGAGGAAGACTTTTTGGCTATCCTGCTTCTTAAATAGAAGAAAAGCACAGACCTTGGCGAAGACAAATCAAAATATTCTCATGCATATTATAAAATTATTAATTACTATATTTCATACGAGCTAAATCCATTTAGTCCCCCTAAAATATACAAAATTTTATCTGGTCCCTATATCCGAATTATGTAACTACTTCTCTTACCGTTAGTTTTTTTCCGTTAAAACTAACTTTTGACCCATTTTGATCACTAAATGACAATATTGCCCTTACAAAAAGCTTTCTAAAAATTTGAAGGAAAAATTTTCTTTTCTTGCAAAAATTATTTAAAATACTGAAAAATATTAAAATTATATTAAATTCAAAAAATAAGAAGCAAAAAATCACAAAAAAATTTAGAAAAAGGAATAAAAAATCTACCAATTTACAATAATTCTCGAATATATAATTTTATTTTTTTTTTGGGTTTTTCAATTGGTTTAAATTTTCTTAAATTTTTATGTAACTGTATTAATTTTTTGTGTTATGTTAAAAAATTTGTGAAATTTTTAGTTTTTTTTTTTTATTTTCTAAAAACTTACTTTTAGGGGTAATTTGATCATTCCAACAGTCAAAATCGCTCAAAAGTTAGTGTTAATAGAGGAAACTAACCATACGGGAGCTGGTCAGATAACCTAGGGACCACATGAATTTTAAATATCTCAAGGGTACTAAAGGATTTAGTCCTATTTTGTACTAGTTTTTGAGTTTTTTAAAGGGCTTTTGAATAAATTAATGAGATTAGGAAATAGGAAAGGAATCTTTGGAAAAATCCACGGAAAGTGACATATCTCCTGCCTTAATTTACTTCAATGGCTACCATTAGCCTCATCATTAATTGAACACTAATAATAATAATAATAATAATCTAAACATTAATCAACTCTGTAACCAAGGAATTAAGTAATTTAAAAATAAAATTTGCCAATTATTTACTTTTACAATAAGCTTCTTTTGAATAAGATTCATTCTATCTATTCTTGCCTACTATGTAACCCTAAGGGGCTTGATCCGTAGGAAACTCAGTGGGGTTAACTCTTTTTAAATCTTGTTATGATTCTAATCAAACTTAAGAGAGTCCCACTTAATTATCACATAAACTAAAATTAATGTGATTAATTAGAACCGGCTCAATGCACAACAACAATTAACAAAGTCGGTGGGTCATCGTTCCATATCATTGTTTGATTTAAATTGGTATATATTACATTTTATGAAATGTCTAAGGAATGTTATCAACATGATATGATAATATTATTATATAAAATGTTGCAAATTCCAAGGTAAAAAAAGAATAGTCTATATATATTTAACTGATTTATTTTAACAATCCATTGCGAGTAATTATATAAATTATAAATATTAATTCAAATTTCTATTTCTTTTTGTTAATGATTAATTATGCATTAGGCAGGTGGTTGACCAATTGACTTTGAATATTATACAATTGAATAGATGACTTTTAAACAGATGGCTTGAATTAAATTTCGTCTTTACACCGCGTGGGAAAAATATTTTTCTGTACCCATAAAGTTTTATTATTTCAAAATCAACGTACATTTGTTTATCTTTATTTTAAACGCACAATGGATCTGCAAAGGGTTTCGTTTTAAAGAACGTTGATTGTAGGGAGCTTCTCATGAAAAATAAATAAATACTAATAAAGTTGATTGTATATCAATACATAATCTATTGAGTATGTTGTTTACATATAACAAAGGAGTATATTAATATTAGCATATTGTAATAATAGAATTTAAAAAAAAAAATTAATATCGTTTAAAGGTGTAATATTAAACTGAAAATAGTTTATGTCACGATATTTTTTTATATAGAGTTTGTGCATCCATTATTATTTTTGTAAAATTGAGATTGTACGAGCTTTTCAAACAATAAATTTTAGAAAAAATTCTTTCTTCTCCTAGTATTGCATATTAAAAATATATATATATTAACATAATGATCAAGCTATTGGATATTGAAAAATAAAAATGTTAATGTAATGATCAAGCTAAGTAGTATTAAAGAAGTTAATCCCTAGAGCTTTCATTTGATATATAAAAATTGTGATCCTTGATTAATTATATTAATTAAAGTAAGTCAAATTAAAATAATATGTAATGGTGTATAAACATATCTAATTTTTCTGGCCCCATGACATTATTAATTTAATTTTTTGTTTGTGTCAAAATTTGTTCTATAGTTTATGAGAAGAGCTAAGGAAATTTCTGGGGCACTTACTATTTTATTTCCTTGAAGAAATACTCGAAATTAGCCTAATGAAACTTCAGATTTTCTAGTAATAACTAATAAGTGATGGCTGCTTTGTGAGTTGTGACCATTGTTTTGGCTTACTAAATAAATTTTGTCGGTTTTCTGGTGGCCTTGGTCGACTATGATTGGACTAAATGGAGTGGCTCAAACTGAAGGTATGGGCTCATTTAGAAAATGAGCATGGGCCTTAGAATAGAGCTCCAGTTCTTGCAAAATGAGCAACAAAGCTTTTTAGCCTTTGACAATGGATTAACAAAGTGTTTGTTCATATGTGGCCTCCGACACTTAGGTTAGCATTATTAATAGATGCATTGTTTACATTCTTAAAAGAATGAGAGTATGTTTTTGTCTTGTCAATATTCATTTCATAAACTTATTAAAATTAGGATGACCTTTGGGGGTGTGTATACTTTTTCTATTTATATTCGTAGAACGTCATATGAAAAATACACATATTGTTATTGAGTGATGACCTTCAATGATATTTTTCCTAATTAAGGTAAGACCGTTGCGTAGTACTTTCCACTTTCCACGCATAAAAAGTCATTTATTTTAAAATCTTTTTCAAATTTAATGTTAACTTACTCGAAAGAGACACTTGTCATTTCAAGGTTTAAGTTGAGAATCCCCATAACATATATAAATAAGAATTGCAGGAGACTAATAATCAAGGCACTCTTAATATTAAAAAAAAAAAAAAAAATATCAGTCCTTTAGGGTGTGTTTGGTTGGTGGTTATATAAAGTTGCCGGGATAATGTCATCTTATATTACTTACATTGTCATGTTTAGTTGTCAAGTAATATAAGATTCTAGTAATTTTCTAAAATCAAATTGTCAAGTAATATAAGATTCTAATAATCTTCTAAAACCAATAAAGTGCGTTTGGATTGGGGGCATATAAGATAACGGGGGTGATCTTCATTTATTTTGCAAGATTCTAGTGTTTGTTTTGTAAGTAATAAAATATTATATGAATTTTTTATTGCAAATATTGTTTACTGTTGGTAATGTGGGGGTTAATCTGATACCCTCCCCTACCCCAGGGATTAAAAGATTATCGAGTAATCTGATTTTTATACCTATTTTGCCTTTAATTAAATACCATTTCGGACACAATTTCCCTAAAATGTATACCAAATAACAATTACCTAGCCCCCCCACATTTGAGAAATTACTAAAATACCCCAGCCACAAAAAAGTTTAAAAGTTAACAAAGTACCCCCAGCCACCCAAGACCACCATAAGCTGTTACTCACCACCACCGACCGCCAACGTTAGTCACCGTAATGGTGCACAACTGGTAGGATCTAGCCGGTCGTGTACCGATAAGGCCAAATCTATGGCCAGATTTGGTTGTTTCACGACCAAAGATCTAGTCATGAAACGACCACATCTTTGGCTATGCGATAGCTATAGATCTGGCCGTGAAACAACCATGGATTTGTGAGCCATGGCTGGAAATAGCTTTGTCGGAGCACGGCCAGCTATATACGGCCAGTTGTGCACCATTCTGTCGACTGTTGGTGACGGCCGGTGGTGGTGGTTGGTTGCCGGTAGTGGCTTGGGGTGGGTGGAGGTGATTTTGCTACAAATTAAAATTTTATATGATTAGGGTGTTTTAGCAAAATTTCAAATGTAGGGTGTTAAAATAAATGATTAAAAAAATAATATTATATTAATATTTAAAAAGGAGGGCAATTCAGTAATCTATATAACATACCCACTCATTTATCTTTTCAACTAAACATATTATTCACTGATTTATTCTAACCAACCAAACACATTTTTTAAACATTCTCAGTAATCTTCAAGGTGATTTATTATTCTGTTAATATAACATCTCCAAATAATAAAACATTATATGATCTAAACGCCCCCATAGTAGTTATTGTTGGTTATATAGGTGGTAATCTGATTACCACCATTTTCTTAGGTATTTTGAGATTACTTAGTAATCTAATTTTTGTTACAAGTTTACCCCTTATTAATAAAATTTTAGGACAATAATGTCTTTATTTTGATTTTAATTTACATGAACTTACCATTACAATTTTACCCCTAATAAATTAAGTTTTTGGACAGTAATGTCCTTGTATTTAAAACAAATTGCAAGCCACCCAAGATTACCGCCACCCGCCAACCACCACTGTTAGTCGACATGGTCGGAATGACACACAACTTGTTGGATCTGGCCCATCATGGGCCAATATGGCCGGAAATGGCCAAATCTGCGGCCAGTTCTATCTGTCTATCATTGACGGCCAGAATCTGGCTATCAATGGCCAGTTTCTGGCCATAGATCTGGCAACGACTAGATCTGGCCAGTCATGTGTAGTTCCGGAGATTGCTGGCTACCGTCTGGCGATGGTAGCTGATGGTCGACTGTCTTCTTAAGTGGTTGGGGTGCTTTAGATAATTTTTAAACTTTAATTGTGGGGGTGTTTAGCTAAATTAACAAATGTAGGAGGTCAAAAAAATAATATAATATGATAATAATATTAAAATAAAAAGGCAATTCAATAATCTATATAACATACCCATCAATTTATTCCTTCCAATCAAACATATAAATATAAAATACCCACCAATTTATTCAAACTAAACTAAACACAATTCCCTAAATATTTCTAGTAATCTTTAAGATAATATATCTTCCCATTAATATAATATTTCCAGT